AAACCCAGTTTTTTTTTCTAGGTATATAGATGTGGATTTGATACGCTGTTCCTTTGTGTAATGAAGAAAGGTGTTCAAGACCTCGACATTCAGATATACAATGCTGATGGTGAATTACCGTATGCAGCCCCGCATCCTTAAATGCCCTACACTGACACTTACAGTAGCAATGAAGGAGGTGATGGTGATAGAAGTATGTTTTGCTATTGCCCTGCCAATGGAAAACACAAATCAGGTGGTGGTTTTCTCCTTACGAACTTGGATTTGGGATATGTTTGTTCCCTTCTTTTTTTACTTGAGAAAAGCTTTCAAGTTTCTTCAGTTAAAAGTTTTATCAACTCAGCTTAGGTATTCTAAACATTTTTGAGTAAAATATGTAAAACAGAATTTTATAAAATTCTGAATGTTTTGTGTGCATTTCCTTGCTTTCTTATGTTTTTAAATGTTCATTTACTTCATAATATTCACTATTTATATTAGTATGTTTTTAAATGTTCTGTAGTCTATGACTACATCTCAAGGTGTGCATCTCACACTTCAAGGACTGTACCACTTTTAGGGTGTATAGTTTGTTATCTTTCATCCTATCTTAATCGATGTTATTCATTATTTTTACAAAAAGAAGAATGAATTTGTTTAGTCTTCAGAAGCTTTATCAATTTTCCTCCAAGTTGATAACTTGATAAAGCTCGAGACTCCTTCCAGATGTAATTTTACCTTCACAAGCTTTATTTAAAACAAGCTTGGTTTGCTTAAATAGCTACTCTCTTCTAATTAGACAGAATTTACTCAGACAATTTTAATTTAGTTTTAATTTAAGACATATTTTAGTTTTAGCGGTTTTTAATCCTGGTAGTAATCATTTATGACAGAGTTTTTTTTATTTAATGCCATGCGTATAATTGAGGCAGAATTTGTTTACAGTTTTAATTTAAGGAAAATTCTATTTTTAGCAGTTTTAAATCGAAGTAGTAATTGTTGCTCAAAAAAATTATCTTGGTCAAAATGATTTTTATTGAGTTTTTTATTTAAGGCATTTATTATAATATGTTAGGTATGAACTTTTTATTTACGGAATTTAAGGCATATATTATTTTTAGTTGTTTTTTTATCTCCGTTGTAATTAATTTGACAGATTTTTATCTCATGTTTATAATTAATTGAGGCAGGATTTTTTTTGCAGTTTTAGTTTAAGGAACAATCCTCTCCTTGATATATGCACGATTTTTAAACCTTCCATATAAGATTTTCCATATTTAAGTTGCTTGCTTTGCTTAATTTGTATTCTGCTAATTAAGGAAGGATTTACTTACACAGTTTACACAGTTTATTGAATTACTGTAAGCAGCTTTAAATATGCACGAATACTTTTGATTGAAGTAATTCAAGCAGTACACTGCTATTTAAGGCAGCTTTTAGTGTAAGCAGTTTTTATTCTCAGTAGGATTTTTTTTTTAAATTTTAGGCCTTGCGTATAATATTGATTGAATTACTGCAGACAGTTTTAATTTAAGGAAAAAAATTATATCTACTAAATCTCGGTAGTAATTGTTGCCAAAAACAAAAGATCTTGGTAGTAATTATTCTCACTGAGTTTTATTTTGGTAATTTTTCCCTGTTTAAGTACTTTATATTTTCAGCACACAATCCTCCCCTTAAGATATGCACGAATTTAAAACCTTCCTTCATTAAAGATTTTCCTTTTTAACTAAATCATAGGAAACATTATATATAGCCCCCTACCAGTGCATACCACCATATTGGTCTCAAACAATTCTCCCACTTATTTAGGTCGTTTTTTCTGTTTTCTCGGTCACTTCTTGACACGGACTGCAACACTACATGTGTTAATTTTTTCTTTCAATTATATTTTCTTCCATAACATTTTCGTTTTACATCATTCTGTAGATCTTAAATGGCTCCAAAATTGCTTAAACTGGGTGAATTCACTGGAATACTTGAACCCAATCACGCGATATTGGTTCGTGTTGTTCGCAAGTGGATTGTTCATTACAAAGACACAGAGAAGGGAGTCCGTTCTCTAGAGCTTTTGCTTGAAGATGAGAAGGTATTTGAGCGTACGTAAAATAATTTTATATAATACGTATACTTTTGACAGAATTAAATCTTACAATACTATTAAACTTTTACAATATTAAAAAGAATTATAGTGAAAACTGACCGTATAACATTTACACTTGCAGTTATTAATTAAAATTTCCAACTGAGTAAGTCCAATTTTAATTAATTGTACAATGAAACTTATATTAAACAACTTGCATATGAAAATAACTTTAAAATGATATATCTATATAAATCAGTAATTGGAGCAATAACTGTTTTTTTATAAATAAACTTGAATGGTGGTTTTTATAATAAATAATTAATTGTACATTTGTCCATATTGTATCTAATACAATTTAAAGTTGACATAATTTTTATAACATTTACACTTATTTTATTGATTAAAATTTACATATGAGTAAGTCCAATTATAATTTCCAGTTACGTAAATAAAATTCATTTCTTTACAAGAATGTATAACTTCTAATTGACTCCAATTTATTGTCAAATAGGGTGATAGGATTCAAGCTACTATAGGACAACAACTGCTGCGCATCTTTGAAGCCCAAATAGAAGAAGGTGAGACGTATGCAATGATGTACTTTACTGTGAGGTCCAATGTTGAACAATATCGCCCATCCTCCCACCGTTATAGACTGTGTTTCAAAGAGGAAACCAAGGTGAAGCGTCAAGAAAAGAGTACTATGTCATCCTTATCATTTAAGTTAAAAAGCTTCTCAGAAATTTTTGCTGAAGGAGATGATGTCTGTCTTCATTTGTTTGGTAATCTTAAACACTGTTATTTTGTACTATGTATTTAATAATTTGTGTAACTATAATATGTGTGATAATAATTGTAATCTCGAGACCACTTCCAGATGTTATTGGTGCATTCAAGGTCGGTGATAAGATGTTCAAGGCGGAAGCTGGAGCGTCCACAAAGTATTGTAACTTTTACCTTCGTGATTTAGAGTTAAGTGATAAAACTATTTCAAATTTTGTTATACTATATAATGTTCTCATGTATTAACATCAAAATAATTTATGTATTCTAATTTTACCATGCATAGGGATAAAATACGTAGTATATACTCTTATGAAAGTACTTTTAACAAAGTACATTTTCATATCATTTTTATATTATAAACAATTTTAAATAAATATATATAATTGGTTAAAGTTTTGAATTTGGCTAAGTATATTTTGGGGCGGATGTAGTATAATAAAATGCTGCAAAATAGATACATAACAAATAATTTAAGGTTTGTACGTTATGTTAAGAGTTTTTATCTTAAATTCTTAGTTAAATTAAATATGAATTATATAGGTCTTCTTCTAGATGAAGAAGTTGACAAAATCAACCATCATACTGGGCAAAAGACCACGGTCTTCATACGAATATGTAAGTCCAACGACAAATGAAACGCATGATGGAGAAGGTACTCATGAGAAGGTTGTCGGGTGTTTAAACCACTCTGAGAATCACACAAATCTTCAAAGGAACACTCCATCTTCTTCAAACTCAAAAAGAAATCCATTACAGGATATCACAAATGGTAACATTTTATCCAATCACATTTTCGTATTACCATAAATATGATCTAATCCTCTCCTTAAACATTTCAAAAATAGCCATAACAAATAATAGCACTACAAGTGTACGCCCAACAAGTACAGGCAAATGGCGTTTTGGAATGTCCCTATTACCTGAAGATGACTACGTTTTATTTGAGTCGAACATGTTTGAAGGACGCATTCAAAACTCAGCTCGCATGAAGGACATATCAAGATTTGAGTGCAGCAATCGCAATGAAGGCAAGCAATTATTTACTAATCACCTAAAACACTTATTTACCAATATTGATACATAAATGCCATTTTCACAGGTGACCATTTAGAGAATGCATTGGATGGACAGTCCGATGATGATGGACTACCTGTTGATGGTGAATATTTGTGTCATATTTTTTTGTTTGTAATTTCGTATCTCTTTACATTCTTAAGTATTAACTCTTACTTATGTTAAGTCTAATTACTACCGATTCTTGCAGAGGAGGATGCAGAATATGCAATATGTTCGACAGAAGGTGTGTGCATATAGTATTAGCATATCATATTCTTATATACATAACCCTGTAATGCGTAATTATTATCATATAAAATTAACATCATTATCTTTTTCAGATTATGTAGATCTACATGATGCTATTTACGAGTGCGAGTACTGCAGAGCACTTTTTTGGCATGCTGAAAGAGTAAAGAGAAGTTCAGTCAAACAGCGACCCAAGTTCTCCATGTGTTGCAATAAAGGGAACGTTGTACTTCCTAAGATGCAAAAACCACCAAATTTGTTGTATGATCTGATTTTTGGGAATGATGAACGCAGCAGACATTTCCTTGAAAACATCAGGTCATATAATTCTATGTTTTCCTTCACTTCCATGGGTGGAAAAGTTGACCATGATCTGAATAGAGGGAACAATCCACCAATATTCAGATTGAATGGGCAAAATTACCATAGAATTGGCAGCCTTCTCCCTACTGATGGGAATCAGCCAAAATTCTTGCAGATGTACTTATCTGACCCAAATGAAGAGATCTCATTTAGAATTGCATCTGTCAGGTTAGTGGTTACACAGTTATGGTTTATTTTTAAGCAAACCACATATCATTAACGTTGACTTGTGTTGTATTTTTCTTACACGCCATTTCCTAATTAGCTTTCACTTGCATGTTATAGGCGTGACAGTGGTACATCATTACATGATACATTGGTGGCTGAACTGAAAGCCATGTTGGACACATACAATGTTTATGCACAGTCTTTTAGGATGGCGAGGGATAGATTCAATGAATCTAATTCGACTTCATTGAAAATGAAGTTAATAGGCAAGAGGAATTCAGAAGGTCGTACGTACAATACCCCCACTGTAAGCGAAGTAGCTGCCTTAATAGAGGGAGACTTTGATGTGAACAAAAAAGAGAGGGATGTTGTTCTTCAAACGAAGTCTGGTTCTTTACAGTACATCTCTGAATTAAATCCAGCTTATCTAGGGTTGCAGTATCCACTTCTCTTTCCTTATGGCCAGGACGGTTTTAGAGAAAATGTGTTGTTGACCCGTGCAACCGAAGGGATCACTGAAGGGAACACTGAAGAGAACACTGAAGGAAACACTGAAGGAAACACTGAAGGGAACACTGAAGGGAACACTGGAGGGAGAAAGTATGTTACTATGAGAGAGTACTTTTCATATAGATTTCAGGATCGCATGGTTGAGACCCCATATATATTGCGAACAAAGAGATTGTTCCAACAACTTGTGGTTGACGGTTATACGATGATTGAGTCATGCCGCTTGCAGTATATTAGAAAACATCAAAAGGAGCTACGGAGTGATCTGTATAGTGGATTGGCAGATGCTGTTGGACGAGGGGAGACAAATGCATCAAGGACAGGTCAACTCATTGTTCTTCCGAATTCATTTACTGGGAGTGCACGTTACATGCTGCAGAATTATCAAGATGCTATGGCTATATGCAGATGGGCTGGATATCCACAACTGTTTATTACATTCACATGTAACCCAAAATGGCCTGAAATTCTCCGTTTTGTGGAACCAAGAGGACTGAGTCCTGATGATAGACCTGATATACTTTCTAGGATATTCAAAATGAAACTCGATCTACTCATCAAGGATTTGAAACAAAATAAGATGTTTGGCAACGTGCGGGCAGGTAATTAATGTTTTTCACAAATTTTCATCTTGGAAATCCTTTCTTTGTTTCATTATATAGTTTTTTTTACCACATGCAAATACAACATTATTTAATGTTAGAATTACTTTAATATTTGCAGTTGTGTACACCGTAGAGTTTCAAAAACGTGGATTGCCTCATGCTCATATCGTTCTATGGATTTCACAAAGGCAGAGGAATGTATTTTCCGCAGATATAGACAGAATAATATCTGCAGAGATACCTGATGAAAACTCTGATCCCGCTTACTATAATGCAGTCAAAGAATTGATGATTCATGGGCCATGTGGGCAGATGAACATGTCTTCACCGTGTATGGATAAAGGGCATTGCACGAAGCATTTTCCTAAAAAATTCTCCCAACGGACAACCATTGATAAGAGTGGTTACCCAAAATACAGGAGGAGAAACAATGGAAGGTCTGTTGAGAAAAATGGTCATCCTATGGACAATAGATATGTGATCCCACATAATCGTACTTTGCTTCTCAAGTATGGAGCACACATCAATGTGGAGTGGTGTAATCAATCACGGTCAGTCAAGTATCTTTTCAAGTATATAAATAAAGGCGATGATCGGATAACTGTTGCATTTTCAGAAGCTACTGACAGCACCAAACCACAAAAGATCGATGAGATCAAGATGTACTATGACTGTCGATACATCTCCGCTTGTGAGGCTGCATGGAGAATTTTTTCATACCATATCCATTACAGGGATGTTCCCGTTGAGCGGTTAAGCTTTCATTTACCAGGAGAGCAAAATGTATACTACAAACCTGATGCATCCATTGAGTCAGTACTAAGTAACACCACTCTTCACTCTACGAAGTTTATAGCTTGGATGAGAGCAAACCAACTTTATCAGGAGGCCAGGGAGTTGACATACGTTGACTTTCCATCTAAGTTCACGTGGAACAAAAAGAAAAGGGAGTGGTCACCGCGGAAAAAGGGGTTTGCGGTTGGGCGTGTGTTCTTTGTGCGTCCCGGAGCAGGTGAGAAGTACTATTTGCGAGTTCTGCTGAATGTAGTAAAAGGGCCAAGAAGTTTTGAAGAGTTGCGAACCGTGGATGGAAAGATATATGACACATTTAGGGATGCCTGTTATGCTCGCGGGTTACAGGGAGATGACAAGGAGTACATAGATGGCATTACAGAGTCAAGTCATTCAGCAATGGCTCGATGGCTACGCCATTTGTTTGTTACTCTTTTACTGCAGGGATCGATGACTAAGCCTGAATCGGTGTGGGAAAAGTGTTGGGAGTATTTGTCGGAAGACATATTATACAATGTGAGGAAGAACCTTCATGATCAAGGTACACGTTTATATTAGTCGTAATAATTTAATGTTCTTTTGTGGTTAACAATTATTTCTAATTCATATTCTTTGACTCATAATTACATTGAAATACGTGTGTCATATCTTCTGAAGAGTTGGAACTAGACAAAGGAGAAATTCAGAAGTACTGTTTAGTGGAGATTGAGAAGCTTCTCCAGCAAAGAGGAAAATCACTGCGTGACTATGTCGGAATGCCAGTGCCCCCCGATTCTTATATCCCCTCCATGGAGGACATTCTCATTCATGAAGAATTGAAGTACGATAAGTGTGTGATGGCTGAAGAACATCAAAAGTTGTTGAAGGATATGACAGATGAACAACGAGCTGTTTACGAAATAATCATGGAATCTGTCGACCGCAAATGTGGTGGTGTGTTTTTCTTATATGGACATGGTGGCACGGGAAAGACTTATTTGTGGAGGACTTTGTCTGCGGCAATTAGATCACGAGGAGAAATAGTATTGAATGTGGCATCCAGCGGTATTGCGTCACTCCTTCTTCCTGGAGGAAGGACCGCACACTCGAGGTTTGCTATTCCACTTAATGTGACGGAGGACTCGACGTGCAACATAAAACACGGTAGTCCCTTGGCCAGGCTTCTTGAACAGACACGACTAATTATTTGGGATGAGTCTCCAATGACGCATAAGCACTGTTTTGAAGCTCTAGAGCACACAATGAGAGATGTCCTTTGCTTCTCACCGGAGTGTGATGGTGCCGTGCCTTTTGGTGGGAAAACTATTGTATTTGGCGGGGACTTTCGACAGATATTGCCGGTCATTCCAAAAGGCACGCGGCAAGATATTGTACAAGCGTCTTTAAATTCATCGTATTTGTGGTCATATTGTAGGGTGTTGAAGCTGACAAGGAACATGAGGCTTGCACACGTGACCGAATCATCCAGCGCAACTGACATAGAGCGCTTCGCAGATTGGATTTTGAAGATAGGCGATGGTATTTTGGGAGACGATGAGGATGGGGAATCTAAAGTCCACATACCTGCCGAATTTCTTGCTCCGATGACGGATGATCCCATTGAGTCTATTGTTAATAGTACGTATCCAGATTTCTTGACTCATAGGGAAGACATATCATATCTGAACTCTAGGGCCATTCTTGCGCCTACGATTGATGAGAGAGACAAGATCAATGATTACATGTTGGGGCTCATTCCAGGCGAGGAAATGACATACTTAAGTTGTGATTCAGCATCTTCCTCTGACTCAGATAGCGAGCTCCTTCAGGACATTCATTCCCCGGAATTTCTTAATAGCATCAAATGTTCTGGTGTGCCAAGTCATGAACTCAAGCTTAAGGTGGGTGTGCCTGTGATGCTTATGAGAAACATAGATCACACTGTTGGGTTATGCAATGGTACGCGACTCATGGTAACTAAACTCGGGACTCATATTATTGAGACTCAGATGATGTCAGGATCAAATGCTGGAGAAACGTATCTTATTCCCCGACTTAGTTTAACGCCTTCGGACTTGAAGCTCCCTTTCACGTTTCAGCGCAGGCAATTTCCTCTTATGCTTAGTTATGCGATGACGATTAATAAGAGTCAGGGACAGTCGTTAGAAAGAGTTGGTGTATTTTTGCGGCGTCCGGTTTTTACTCACGGACAATTATACGTTGCGGTATCGAGAGTTACAAGTCCATCAGGGTTAAAATTTGTCATATGTGACGATGATGGTCAACCAAGCAATACTGCTATAAATGTTGTTTACAAAGAAGTGTATAACAATTTATAGGTTTTTCCATATGTCATTTCACTTATGCTTCGAATGTTTAAATTATATTTCTATTATTATTCAATTCAGATCTTTACAAATGAAATGTTTTCCCGTGCAACGCACGGGTTAAAAACTAGTTAATAATAAAGTAGTTCAAAAAAGAAAAAGTTATAGTTGAGTTTTGAAATTTGAGCATGATAAAATGAAATTATGTGGATTATTTCCGGTCAACAAGCGAAATACAATATTTGTATTCATTTTGGGATCATTTATGACACTAATATGAAAAAGTTTTTTAAGGACACTAATTTAATTTGTTATGAATACTCCATAAATTAGAAATAGCACTGACAGTACACTTTGACCCTTTTGATTCCAAATCCAGGATCAGCCCCTACTTACATCAAATAGTCGATTAAAAAAACGTTTCACAAACACTACACTAAACAATCAAAGTTAATCCCAAAAGCCAAATGATTAATCTATTTACCAGACACCCTCTAGCTTGGTGTGTTTGTTTGTCGAGACATGCAGTTTGTACACGCCATGTTGTACACGCTATCCAAATTGTCTATGCAGACACATTCTTTTGTTTTGGGAAGACAATTGTTTTTCGCGATAATTTTTTTGTGTGCGAAAAATGATTTTTTTTTCACAAAACAAAAGAAAAGTTGTTTATGCACAGACAATTGAGATGACGTGTACAGCAATCGTGTACATGAAGCGTGTATTTCGGTTGTTTATCATAGCATAAATGTGTGGAAAATAATATCAGGCTTACATGTAATGGTAGCCCTGACAGATATATTTATAATAGAAAGAGTTCAATATTACAATATGAGTCCCACAATAATTAATAATGATAAATCTACTCTATCACACCCCCTCAAGCTGTGCAGGGGAAACAATGCGCAGATTGTCACGAAGAAGAGTAAAACGTTGTGGCGACAAACACTTAGTAAAAATATCTGCCAGCTGAGCCTGTGTGGGAACAAACTTAACCCGAAGATCACCATGAGCAACTCGTTCGCGAACAAAGTGGTAGTCTATATTAATGTGCTTACTCCTGGCATGCTGAATGGGATTAACAGACAGATAAGAAGCAGATACATTATCACAGTAGAGAGTAGTCGGAACGCGAATAGGAAATCCCAATTCGAACAGCACTGATCGTATGTGAAGAGTATCCTGCACTATGTAAGCTATGGTTCTATATTCAGCTTCTGTGGAAGAGAGAGAGACAGTTGGCTGCTTCTTTGACCGCCAGGAAATAAGATTGGGCCCTAGAAAAATCGCATAACCGGAAGTAGATCTGCCTGAGTCAGGACAGCCAGCCCAATCAGCATTAGAATAAGCAATGATCTCAGTAGAACCGTGTGAAGACTGTAAGAGGAGACCATGAGTGGATGTTCCCTGGAGATACCTGAAAACACGTTTAACAGCCAACATATGTGAAGTGCGCGGAGCATGCATAAACTGAGAAACCAGGTGTACAGCAAAAGTAATATCTGGTCGAGTCAAAGTCAAATACTGTAATACACCTACCATACTTCTGTACTTCGTGGCATCAGCAAGGAGCTCTCCATCAGTGAGGGAAAGTTTAGTACGACTAGGAAGAGGTGAGCGTACAGGTTTTAAAGTATGTAGGTGAAAACGATGAAGAAGATCATATATATATTTTTGTAGAGAAAGAAACAGACCAGAGGGAGTACGAGAAGCCTGAATGCCAAGAAAAAAATGTAAATCTCCCAAGTCCTTCATGGCAAAACATTTATTCAATAGAGATAAAAAAAATGAGTAACTAGTGTAAGAGAGTTACCTGTAACAATGATATCATCAACATAAAGTAGCAGGTAAATAACATCGAAATTACGCCGAAAAATAAATAAGGAATTATCAGACCGGCTGCAAGCAAAACCATGAGAGAGAAGGAAACTACTAAAACGGTGAAACCAAGCACGAGGTGCTTGTTTAAGACCATAAATGGCTTTACGAAGCCGACACAGATGGTGAGGAAACTGCGGAGGAACAAAACCTGGAGGCTGACGCATATATAGTTCCTCAGTTAAATTACCATGAAGAAAAGCATTTTTGACATCAAGTTGACGAATAGACCAACCAAGAGACACGGCTAAGGTAAGTACAAGACGAACAGTAGTGGGTTTAACAACAAAACTAAAAGTTTCAGTAAAATCAATATCTGCCTGCTGATTAAACCCCTGAGCAACTAACCTTGCTTTGTAGCGTTCCACAGACCTATCAGCCAAATACTTTGTCTTATAAATCCACTTGCACCCAACCACATTCTTTTTAGCATCAAATGGTACTAAATCCCATGTATGATTAGAGATAAGAGCATTAAATTCCTCTGCCATAGCAACTCGCCACTTAAGATGTTTATTTGCCATAGAAAAACATGTGGGATCAGGTGTGCGAACAACGGTGTTTAAATTAAAAATAGTTTTTGGTTTAAAAATACCGGATTTAGACCAGGTTTGCATTGAGTGAACATTACCAACCGGGGCGAGGGAATGGGGAGACACGGACGTCGAGACATAGCAGTCGCCCAGGGAGGTGTGGGATGCTGGGATTTTGGCTATTGGGGGGCTGCAGGTCTGGAAATTGGATTCGGTAAGTGAGGTGAAGGTTTGGGAATTGTTTTCGGCCAGTGAGGGGTAGGGCTGGTCAACGATGGTGTGATCATAGATGTCGGCCAGTGGACTGGTGTGGCAGTTGGTCTGGGCGTGTGTTTCTAAGGGAGTGCTGTGGGTAGGAGATATGGGAGGGCTGGGCGTGGTAGGTATATGGGGGGGAGTACAGTTTGGTTTATCTGGCTGAAGGTTTGAGGTAGAATGAGGAGGCAACAAGTTTGGGGAAAAAGCTGCAGCAGAGTGAAGGTGAGGTGGAGCTGCAGCAGCCCGGGAAGAATCAGTGGTTCGTGTGGGAACTAAGGTAGCGGTAGAAGGCAACATACTAGACGAAGACAGCGTAGCACCCGTTAACTTAGCCCGGAAAATACATATTTCGGACCAGTTAACTTGCAAAAATCATTTGACAATCTTCCCAGTTGAATTTTTGGCTGGAATTTGGTATGGATGAACTAGACTTGATGAGGAACCTACACAAAAAAATTTGAGCAAAAAATACCACCGGAAAGGCCCCCAAATGGAGGAGGCCGTACGGGGGGAGTGGTCCGGCCTGGCCGGACCTGAATACTACCCAAACGGGCACTCATGTTATATACCGGAGTAACAATTATTCGGCTGAGAAAATCAGCCATTGGTACCCGAACGACGCGCGTTCAGAGGAGGCCATGTTGACATCGTACATCAGCATCAAACCAATCTCAGCCTCCAACCTGGGCAATTCGCTTGCCTGTGCGGCTGTGCCTTAACTCACCACCGTCACTAGCGAAGATAACATCGTATTATCTGGCCTGAATGCTACCAATCAGGATTGCCATCACTAGTGCTACTCGTATTTTCTTTTTCGATAGTGGAGAAGTGTTGGTGTCCAAGAATCAAAGTATGAATTGGCCCTAGGGGTGGAGTGAGACCAGGCAGCCCGACTCACCCGGGACTGACTCAAGACCAATACAGGTCGGGTCAAGACAAGGTCAGGGTCGGGCTCGACGGGCTTTTTTCTGCAGCACTTTGGCCCGATACCAGTCCGAATATGCTCCGAAACCGGGCCCAAGCCTGGTCCAAAAAATCTAGCCTGAAGGCTGAACTCTGAAGCTCATCCCTAGTGCTGGACTCGGGCCGGTTCGGGCCTGGGCCCGGCCGGGCCTCGGGCTAGGAAAGGGAGGCCCGAGCCCGAACCGCCGGTGGCCGGTTCCGATCCCGGTTCCGGGCCAAACCGGGCCGGGCCGGGCCGGGCCGAACCGGCCCAATTAATTTTTTTTTTTGTTCTCCTATTTAATCCCCTACCCCTCCCCCTCAACCCCAAACCATCCCAAACCACCTCAAATGGCCCAAAATACCTAATCCAACCTAAAACTTAAAAAAATTTCAAAAAAAAATTAAAAAATTAAAATCCGGTCCGGACCGGGCCCGAACCGGCCGGGCCGGTTCACCAAAACCTGGGCCCGGGCCCGAACCGCCCAGCAGCCGGGCCGGGCCGAACCGAACCGAGGGACCCACCGGGCCCCGGGCCGGGCCGGGCCAAACAGTAACCGGGCCGGGCCGGTTCCGGGCCGGGCCGCCCGGCCCGAGTCCAGCACTACTCACCCCCCTTATAAACACCGGTCTGAGCCTCGAACCAGGCATAAATAGTATTGGGCCGGTCCCAATCCATCCCTAGGGACCCGGATCTGATTTTTTGAGAACGACACCGTCCCAATACCCGGACCAGTGGACAATGGTTATAAGGGGCAGGCTTCATGCTGATTTTTAAAAATACCCAACGACTATTTTTAAAAAAAAAATAATTAAATGGGTGCATAAGGACCCGGGCCCAGTATTGTTTGGAGCCCGGCCGGAACCGATATGAGCCGATATGAGCAAACCAAGCCGGTACCGAAATCCACTTTTGCAGAACTGGTACAATCCAGGCCCATGCCTAGCCCGATCCAAGTCAATACCTAGTTGGCCCTAAGGCATACAAAAAGCGGATGCCAGAGAAGTGTAAAATGAAGGCCAAGGAAGAAGATGCTGACTATGCAATGGATTAAATGATAAATATTGGAAATTAGAAACAGTATGATGTGTCAATTTGATTTAATCTCGTTGGTTAAAAAGCGGATGTACCAAAACCCAGAAAATTTTAAGGTGCACCGTAGACAACCCCTTTAGGATTTTAGACAGGAGCCCCCGTCTGAAAAGAATCTTGAAGTAACCATTTACATCTGCAATTAATTTTATTCTCTTTTCCATTCTACTTTGACGTGGTACATTAATTAATAAAGTGAGAATTAATAAAGTGAGAATAAAGTCAGAAGAATTTTTGGAACATCCCAAAAGAATAAGTTAGGAAGAATTTTACCAAGAACTACAAGGGAGAATGGAACTAGGAGTGTACTGGTCGTCTGGTCCTAGTCCTGGGCCAGATATTGGGCCCCCTGAACTGAAAACAGCCCCCCATGCAGTCCCGATTATTTTATTTGTTGTTAATTTTAAACCTCCCCAACCCCACTTCGTAACTTTTTTAGCTTTTAAATGAACTTATACTTTAAAAGTGCTTAAAAGCCTTGAAATGCAGATAAAATGATTAAAATGACTGAACCGGCGGGACCAGAACATCCGGTTCCAGTCCCCAAAGACACTAACCGGGACCAAAGCCAGTGAGGACAGGTTGGTCGCCGATCTGCAACCAAAACTGGAAATAACGGGTCCGGTTCAGTCCAGTCCCAGGAGCCAGACAGTTCTGGTCCTGGCCAGTCTGAACTGCAGTACTGCAAACACAAAATGGTGAAGCCGAGAGCCGATAAAAGTTCAATATTATATTATTAATAAGAAACAATAAAAAAGAGTGTCAATATACCAAATGAGAACAGAAAGTGAAGTACCAATAGGGCAATAGGTATCAACCTCTAATAGAGAAATCTAACGGGCAATATTGAGGATTATACTATTTGTACACATAATAAAAGCCACCATTGAGATTCTGTTTGGAGGCCAAAACATCAAGGCTCTAAGTTTGGGTGTGTGGCCAATTCGACAGATTTGGGTGCCTGCATAAAGTTTGATAAGACAAATATAGTAATCACATTCAACATCCCATGACTCGAGCAACATAAAAAAAGTTAACCCTACAAAATCCAACATGGAACAAGAAAAACAGTTTTGGTTCACAGAATGCAAGGGGTTACACTAGGTAATATTACCTTTTGGTAGGTGACTAGGTGATGTGAGATCACTCAGGGGTCAAAAGATGTGATATTCTGTATAACTTATGCTGTTAAATTGTTCTCCATAAAGACAGAACAATCCAAGGATTACTTGCTAATGTAATTTCAGAATAGCTTGAGTAACTGAATGTAATCATCACATTACAACCAACAAGGTGATATAAGACTACCCTGGTAGTTCGAAAACAAAACCAAACAAGATAATCTTACATTATCTTTCTCAAATTACCAAGGTAATGTTACCCTAACAAAATACCTCTAGCCTTCTAAAGGGGATACACATTAAATGGAAGTTGCTTAAAAAAAGGTACTACTACACTATAGTTAAGGACTTAAGGATCCATTTATTGCCCCGCCTTTTCCTGCTAAATAGATGCTCCCTATGTCCCATTCTATAGATCTTGCTTTCCTTTTTGGGTTGTGCCACAATAAATGTTTTTTTTTCCTTTCTGGCAAGAAGTATGTGGTGCATCTCATTTCAATTTGTTCTACTCAAACCTCAACCACACCTTTTAAGAGGTGTGCCAAACCAAAACAAGACATAAAATGTGACAGAAGTAGTATAACTCTTATAGTCTTATCAAACTCTAAATTATTTATATTACTTACAAAATTGACAGTGAAAGAAATTAGTACAAAAGTTTGTCCGGAAGATGAAGGATTGAATGAAAACATCACTTCTATTATCATTTTGTTTATATTATTATCATTAATTTATGGCAAAAGATGTCATCAACACGTACAGAAGATAATACACTGTCTTTTTGTAACCTCAACCATATGTCATGTGGGACTTGCTTCTGACATTATTAAACCAAAAAAATTCATATTGCAGATAGAAAAACAGTTCTGTATAGACATAAGATGCAAATCTAACCTTTCCCTGAAGACTCATTATTGTGGACCTTAAAATGGTGTCCCCAACACACAACCTCAGCTTTCTGACCAACTCGTCCCGGTTAATCTTTTTACTCTGATGATAATACCACAACAGGTAGACCGGAGGGGCAAAGATCAGGAAAATAAATCAATACTTTTTCAGTGAAGTCCCCCAACAGAGATTGGTGAAGGACCGAAACTATAATTCCATTCTAAATTCCACGCACAAACCTTGAATAACTCGTAGCTGCTATTTATAACTTTCATTTTCTCAGCCGCAACTTTCTCAGAGATAGCAGCAAACAAATCAGGGAACGACATCCAAGGGGACTTTGGGATCCTTGGGACATTTCCTTGCTGATTTTGGAGTATACTTGCATCAGGCATTGTTATCTGACATAAGCTTCAAAAACTTGGTTACTTTTTTAGAGAGTTCTTTCCCAACGTACGAATGAAAAAATACACAAAGCTAAATCCATCATAGTGGAATCAATGTCTAAACCGAGCCAAAAATGACTAAAAACGCAGATCACAAAATGCAAAGGACAAATCTATAATCCCTATTCATTTGAACTAGGGTATTGCAGACTACACTTCAAAATCTGACAACCTTATATGTCGGTCCATAATGAAATTTGGTTAGGAATTCATAATTTATTTTGGGGGCTCTACATAGAAGGTGATAAAATAAAAATAAAAAATAAAATAATGTGTACATCAAAAAACATGGCATCAAGGAAAAACACTACTATTTTTAAGAATAAACTGAAATCTAGAAATGTTATGTTTCCCTGATATAAATAAACCACTATTTTTTAGGACACATAAAAAGGGAAGGGTGAAAGGTCGATTAAAATGAAATGCAAAGAGTCGCAAAAAGCGAGGTTCACTCGGAGTCTCAAGAGTGATAATTAGATGAAGAAACCAATTAAGATTCACACCAACCATCAACAAATAGATATTAATTCCAACGTAGATGTGAGAGGGATATATTTTGCATTAAATAAGAAAAATAAAGCACTTTCCATGGTACTATTTTTATATTAGTATTATCACACACCGCCATTCAAATAATACAAGTTTTGATGGCAGAGAGATGAGAATAAATCAACACCAATAAAATTGAAATAAGTGGAAAATCTCTATATACTGTTGGATGACTCACCAAGCGTGTCATGGATGAGTATGAGCATACCTGATTTGGAGACCCCTCATAACAAGTACTAACCCCTGAATTGTTCAGATTCTCACTTTGAACAACAGCCCCTGTCATGAAAAAATCCCAAATGAGCTCTGGCATGTACTCATTTCGTTTTTCTGTTTAGCAGATAGAACATGTCTACCAGCACTACATATTATTTGAAATTTAATCTTAACATAATTTAAGTTGAACTGAAATATATATATGTGTGTATATATATATATATATAGAGAGAGAGAGAGAAAGTTTGGATCAAATGAGAATATCATCTAATGAGAGAAATAAGAATGCATCTCTACCATTAATTTCGTATGATCTATTAAGATGCCGTTTTAGTATTAACGGTCCAACGCTGTTATTAGTTTCAGGGATGCTCCACTCTTTCTATAATTCTATGTGCCCCGTATTACGTAACTTCCATGTATGGCAACATCCACTTTGCAACTTTCTAATAATTGCAAGTCAACCCTTTTGGTTATGATTTCATTAATTTTGGGGGGTACATTTAAATGTTCTCTTCAATTAGGAGTACACTACCAACCGAACTAACTTGTACTTAAATAATTATTTAAAATGTATTCATTTAATGTAATTCACTGTAAATATCTATATTCTTTAAAAATGTTTTTATTTGGTTTGCACTTTTTATGTATGATGGTGCATTTTAATGTAATTATTATTTAATAATACTTCTTTGTCTCATTTTTGAAAAATAATAAATAGCTTTTTCTCTTTAGAATGAATTTTTTTAAAAATGTACTACGTATAATGTAAAAGAGATAGAATGAAGTGCACAATAGTTTATTTAAGAATAAATGTGCATATCTCACTGAAAAATAACACAACAATATTGTTAAAAGCAGTGGCGTATCTAGAAAAACTCGTGAGTGAGGGCAAACTTGCCTTAAATTTTATCACACGCACACTACGGACTCACCACATTAATAAAAATATTGCAAAATCAATTATAAATAACAAAATATTCAACGTGCAAAAAGTTTTTTCATATAATACCTAAAACTCATGATAAATAAATATGACTTTGTTAGAAATAAATTTAATCACAAGGCGTTTGTAATACGATCAAAACTTTGTTAATAAATAAGTGAATCAAATAAGGAAAGGATCAAATATGTACTTAAAATTAATTTAAGATGCCAATTCACAAGCATATCAAAAATCAATCTATGTTATTTACAAAAATGTATTACCTAATTGTTAAGTTTTATGAATCTGAAATTAAAGTTTTAATTATATTGATATATTTTAAATCTTGCAAACAAGACCAGAGTTAATTTCTTATGTAAAGCCATTTTAAATTTGTTTAAGGCTACATAAGGTGGAAATAAAAACAACATTAAAAAACACCCATATGGATTCAAACACTGGACCTTTGGTATATCTTAACGTATGCGTACCTCCGTTTCCACTTGACCACTCTAACTTTTGTAAAATGCTCGTCAATAATATAAAAGATATCGATATTTCAGAAACAAATATATGTATATAATTAATTATTGGATATATATAGGGATTGGGTGAGGGTTGAGTGGGGGCAGCTGCCCTCCCTGCCCCCACCCTGGATAAGCCCCTGGTTAAAAGTGCATACATGTTTAGTTAGCAATAATAGAAATTATAAAATTAAATACTAACGAGAATTGACGATTTACTTGAAAGTATGAATGTACATAATTGTACATTTAACACAATGTAAGTTGCACCTTATTGAGAGAATAGTGCACATTGTAGACAAACCTTTATCACAATCAATAGTTCAATACTATGTACAATTAAAACACAAGATGACATATTTAATAGAGTTTGAATAAAATAATATAGTGATCTAAAAGAAAAATGAGAATGAATTTGATTGTTAAAACTTGTGCACGATGTGAAACAAAAATGTGCATTGTTGTGAATTTCAAGTGCAGATAAATTTTTTAAATAAATTAAATTGTTATACTACATTTTTAAATTAAAAATGTGAATTGTGCATTATCTTAGCCATAAGTATGCAACATACAATTGTGCATCAATTTAGGTCCTCATTTGTCACGTGAGAAATTGTTCCCACCAAATTAAAACCATTTCGTAAAAGAGAATTGAGAATGAATATGATCGTTAACGTACAATTGTGCATGATTTGAAACAAAAATATGTTTGTCATGAATCCCAAAGTGCAACTACATTTCCAAATAAATTAAATTGCTATACCAATTTAAAGTGGTCATTATGTTTACCATAAATGTGCAACATCATTAATCAAGATGTGCATCGTTGTAGGTCATTCTCAGATGATCTTCAATGCTATAATGTACATGGTGCACGTGTGGAATGAGAAATAGTCACATAAATATTAGCAAATAAATTATATCTCTGCTTTTTTGAATGATTTTATACAATTTTAGTAAGTTTTTCTCTGCAATGTTAACCACATGTCAACATCTAGACGGTCTTCTTGACATTGTGAAGAAAAACTTACCAAAACTGTTTAAAATCATTCAAATAAGGACAGAGATTATTTACTTGCTAATATTTATGTGGCTATCTCTCATGCCACATGTGCATCGTGCACAATATAACATTGGAGATGCTCTCATTTATCACGTTAGAAACTGTTCACACCAAAAATGTGTGTCATGAATCACAAAGTGAAGCTACACTTTTAAATAATTTTATTTTTAAACCATTTTAAATTATGCATTATATTTACCATAAATGTGCAACATCATTAACCAAGATGTGCATCGTTTAGGTTATTCTCGTTTATCATGTCAGAAATCCCACAAAAACCGTACCCTAACTAATCATAAGTTTATTTGACGGGACAAATGTAGAGTACGCTTTAAAGTTGCACTATAAAAATAATATAAGTTCACTAGAAATTTTGGAAAAGGATAATATTTATAAAAGTGCACTGTGATAACAAAAAAGTTGCAGAATTTATAGACGGAAATTATAGAGAATATGTTGAAGTTATTTAGCACAAAAAAATATTATATTGTAGTATTAATAAAATATGGTGAATAATAATACAATCAAGCATATCCGTTAGTGGAAAGCATCTAAAATGGAAAGCATGTTGACGTAAGCGGTTTCAATGGAAGCATCTAAAATATTATCGATAGTTACGAAGCATTATTTACACATTGTTAACTTTTCAGTTAGATTAACGTGATAACCTCTCCGTTAGTGGTTTGAAGTATTGTATATTTTCAATTATGCCACTGATTTGAGATTTTAAATGATTAAGATTTATTCTCGTTTCTCTCCTAATAGAGTGTTCTCACATGAACCATACCCTATATATATGTATATATATATACATATATATATGTATAAATATAAATATATATACATACATATATATATATATATTTGAGATCTGGTACCTAAAATAAATCTCCCATTTTATGTGAGAGAGAAAGAAAGAGTAAGTTGGGTATGGAAAAATTACAAAGAGAGTGAAACTATCACCTTCAGCTTCAAACTTGAAACTAACAACATATTCCGGATAAATATGGGTATTCATGTTCATACTCCATACTATGTAATGCTTTGGATATTGAAGATCATCAACGCCATTATCAAAGGACTCATTACTGGGATGGAACTGCTTAGATCCAAGACTAACTGGCTCCATGTTTCCCATAATGACTCGGCACAAAATCATGTGTCGGACACCATTTTCGTCAACATCACAAAAATTTGCACTAGGAAAAAATGAAAAAGTAACAACTTAATACAAAAGATAACATAAACCAATCAAACGAATGCCTAAAATGTCAATTTTGTCATATTCAAAACATAACAACTAAAAGACTGCATCTTGCCTACGTGTAAAAGATTCTAGAAAAAAGAAAAGTGTGCATGGAGAAACACGCTTTGACGAAAATTTAATTAGGTATCATAGGAACAAGGTCGAGACATTCACTTATGAGAAAATTTTGATAAGATGAAACCAAAAATATTTATGATGACTATAATTGGCATATCCTTGCATTACACATGATCATCATATTGCCTAAAAAATATAGCGTGCAGTCTGCAACCAATAAAAGATGATTTGAGAGATGTACTATATATGGTGCATCAACTTATTTGTATGAGCATGCATTGCATGTAGTATAAGGATATTTTTACTTGGACATATTCCGTTCCCAAATCAGACCAGACTTAAACAGAAAAGAAAATTTGGATAGGATGAAACCAAAAATATTTATGATGACTATAATTAGCATATCCTTGCATTAAAGATGATCATCATATTGCCTAAAAAATATAGCGTCGAATCTGCAACCAATAAAAGGCAATATGGGAGATGTACTACAAATGGTGCATCAACCTATTTGTATGAGCATGCATTGCAAGTGGTATAAGGATGTTTTTACTTATTCCATTCCCAAATCATACCAGATCTAAACAGAACAGACCAGACTAGTCTTTAAGAGACCAGACCAGACTTTAACAGACCAGACCAAATTTTGACGATTTTACAATACAACATTTACCAAACCAGAAAATTCTAGTCCAATTAAAAACATCCTAACTTATTGAAAATATAAAAACCAAATATCATATATGCCGGTATACAAATTGTGTGGATGAATGAAATGAAATGAAATGTTGAATTGCTCAAAGAAGCTCCAGAAATGGAGCCTGCTTAGGATGAAATCACATATTTCACGTATCAAAAACTAAAACTATTGAACACAAACAAATATTCCTCTTCATCAGTTATCTGCTACTAGAGAAAAGACAGTCTGGTTTGCCCTAACCAGTATCCTACTTTAAGTTTAAGGATGATTTTACTTGGAATTATTTCAATCACAAACCAGACCAGACCAGGCTTTAACAGTCTAGATGAAACCAAACTTCTACAGTAGTAAAATACACAAAGACAAGACATCTTCTAGACTAGACATGATCAGTTCAAACCAAACCAGATCAAACCAGAAAATTACAGTCCAAGTAAAAACCCAAGGCCTGGAGAAGAAAACCCAAGGCCAGTATCCTTGAACAGTGGCAACCTTCATGCATCATACAAAGTAATATAACTTAATCAATCAACTTTATTCGCACATTTGATAATTACAACGAACACATAACAAAGAGTGCAAAGCAACACTTACCTGATCTCAGTGTGATTAATTGGAACAAGATGAACTCCTAAGCCATACTGAGAATTCTTATTGGTTGAGTCAAAATTGGCAAGTCCATAATTCATAATACTAGAAAATGCACTTTTCGTAGAAGGAAACCATGCAAATTGAACATTGGCATGTCCACGCAGCTTTTTTACAATTTCAGCTTGCTTCTGAAAAAGTTCTAACCTAGCTTCCATGAAAGTGCTTGATCCACGAGCTACATTGATAATACTTGCGTGAGCAGATTGCTCGATACCAGTGATAAACATTTTCCTCACCGAATCAGAATCCAGAAAAGCCCGTGCTGGACCAAGCATCAGTGTTTTTTCTTCACTGTGTACATTTTCAGCTGAGCTTCCATTACCTTTTGCAGCTGACAAGCCTTTATCATAATCACCGTTTTCCATATCAGAGTCCTCTGCTTCAGCATCCAGATCAACTTTAACTAGTTTAACATAAGCATTGGATTCCCCACATGATTCTTCTGGCTCAGAAAAATTTGATCGATTGATTTCAATCTCAATTTGCAAATTAATTTCATTGTTTTCATAAGCTGTATTGTTGCACTCAGCATCCCCTTCAATACCATCTGCGAAAATTTCAGGGAAAAAGCAGTTCCCAGCCTCGTCAATCCATGCAATGGACTGCTGGATACCTGTCTTCAAGTCAACCAGCATCATAGACACAAAGTCAAGCACACAAATTTTACCGCTAAACTCTACTTCTATTATCGATTTCTCTATATGCAGATCTTCTTTAACTGACGGAAGAATACTCTCAGGAAAGTCAATCCATTCACCATTTTGGTAATACATCAAACGTTTTGGGGGACCACTTTTCTTAAAGTTCAGATAGTGCTGAAGCAAAGATTTTCTGGGAGAACCGTAACCAGACTTGCTTTTGATACCACTCAGCTTTCTTTGCTTGATAAACCTATGTATGCCATAACTAGGGGGGCAGGCATTTGGTATGTACATATGGTTAGTAACATTAGTGTACTTCTCAGGTTGAACCCCGCATTTTCGTTTTAAATTGACAGAGATTTGCCTGTTGTTATCCAATACCGGTCCGAATTTTGTTTCCATTCCTTCCAAGATAATGAATCCCGCTATCCACGAATTTAATCCCAAGATTTCTATACAAATTAGCCTCAGCTCTGTCTTAGAGAAAGCATTCCATTGATAAATCCTGGCCAAATGAAAGCAGAGGCATATGTTATAATTAATGAATACGACTTTGTGAAAGTGCAGCATGCAGAAAATAATTTAATCTGGTACCAAAAGAGACATCACTTCACCACACTCCATGGGATAAATGAAGCAAAACATTAAAGAATCATTACCTCTCTCTAATTAAAAAGAAAGTCTTGTTTGAATAAGGTAAAACTTTTTTATTTTGGTAACGTGCAACTGCTATAAATCATTAATTTTTTAATTATATTTTAAAAATCTATAGTCACTTTATCTAAATTTATAGCACGCTTCTTGCATGTCTCTTTTTGAAAAGTTACACACAATTAACTTGGCTTGATCATAACTCATATGGACTCCTTTTGGGACAAAAAAGGCAGGGCTATAGATTAGGGCGTGCAAGAAGTGCTACCGCACAGGGTCTCTTGATTAAGAAGGCCCAAAATTTTAAATATATAGTCTATATAAAATACAAAATGCTCTTTTATTTGTTCAAGATTCCTATTTTAGTTTTTTTTAATACAATCATTACAAAGTAATATTGATATGTAATTAAAATATAAGTCCTAATTAAAATTGCACAACTTTTGTTGCAATTTTCATGAGGCCTAGTTATAGACTTATACTACATGGTAATTAGCACAAGGCAGACATACAATTTGGGACAGTCTAGCAAAAAGGTGTTCCAAACATGCCTTTCACGGCATTAGTATATGATAGAAAAGAAGGTATAAGGTTGATAATCAAAATCACCAGCAATTGTTGTGAGTAGCGCAAATCTATTTGCAGATATACATATGCGTCTATATACATATGATAAGGCATTTTACTTTGCTAATTTTACTGCAAAATCTGAAGAAACAATACCAATGGGGAAGCAACCATGCAGATTGCTCGAGTATCTACCAAATTTTTGTAATTTTCTTTAATTTTAAGTCTTGTATTGTTGTAAAGGGCTTTACACTGTAACACTCTAAGAAAATTGATAGTCATAAGTGGTTCCCATTAACAAACGTTCAATTTTTTTAAATTTTATCCCACTTAAAGAATGGGGGTGAAAAGCACGTGCTATTATACCCAAAAAAGCATGTGCTACATCTGTGTAGTTATTTTGTTTATTCTATGCAATCCAAAAATATGAAAACAAAAAAAAACTTTTCATATGTGTAGATGATGATCATCATCATCATCATTACCCCAGTGCCGCAAAGACTCCCGCCTATGATGGGGTTAGGGGGGTCGGATGTATGCAGTCTTACCCTTGTACTAAAGCACAAGGAGACTGTTTCCGGATGACCCATAGAGAAATTGGCATAGAAAAAATGCATGGACTGACTACCACTTCATAACAACAACAAAAAAGAGCAGACGGTTTTAGTGAGCCAATTTGCTATATTCCATCATATTCCCAAGCAAAAAAATAGTGAATCTCTGGCTCCATTGCAAAAAATTCATATATTTGGCTTCATTGGGACGGGTGCATTTTCCTGCAATATAATCTCGACAGCTTGTTCATTGGGACAAGTGTTTTTTAATTTTTTTAGCCAATCAAATCTCACCAACCTCTTCGGGACATGTGTATTTTCTTTATGAAAAGATCATTAATGTTTGTAATTTCTATAACTACTACTACCTAGCAAACACTTTCCGAATGAATACAGCTCAATCCTTCTACCTCTTTTCATCCTCTTTATGGTTCTCAGTCTGCAATATGGTAAACATCATCTTTTGTGTGAGGCTGTGAGTTATGTGTAAACCTATTATTTTATTAGCTTATACAAACAAAACAAAAAAGTAATTTTTCTATAATGAATGATTTTTAGATGTTTGAAGTTAAGAATAAAGACCTAATTTTGATTCAATGTCAAAGAAATGGTTAAACTAACTAAATCCACAGCTAAGAGAAGCTCTGTTTCTGCCTCTGGTGAGTGTAAATATTACTTTAGTTGTATAGTTAAAATTTGTCCTTAATGTATAGCAATTAGCAATGCTTACATACGAATTTGAACTTATACATATATTAGACAATTAACTGAGAAGGCATATATATATAGGATGATTAAGAGGCAAAATATTTTGATAACAATCTTGCAGAAGGCATGTTTTGAGAAATAGAATACAAAATTAACATTAGAAAATACTCCATATAGTTTAAGTGGGCTGAGTTTTAAAAAAAGATTACAGCAAGATTTTAATATTATTTCCATTTAGAGTTAGTTCATGTGTGTGTACAGTAAGGAGAGTTAAATCAGTTAGATAGGTTTTCTCCTTAATTATAGAAAATCATACCCCATATGAAGTATTTATGTTAGTTTTTTCAATAGTTATGGTAAAACAGTTAATTTGGTTGAAATATAGTGAGTATATATGATGTAAAGAATAATAGTCTGTTTGATTTAGGGTGATAAAAAATCAACAACTAGCATATATTTGTTTGAGTGAGATGAGGATCGAAAATCATTACATTGAGTCATGATTTAATTATGCTTTAATTTAAACGTTGAGTCATACTAGTTACTCCATAGTTATTATTGATCTTAATTGCAAGAAAACAAGTTTTAATAATAAGGAAAAATTGTTAGTTAACATGTGTAAAGTAGAACGGAATGTTAAGAAAAAACAGTCTAATTGAGTATCGAGTTGAAGTCAAACACAGTAAAAGTCCAGCACGATGATGGTTACTCAAAATTGTTACTTATAGCAATTAAAAAATGAATAAATATTAAATCTTTTCATCTAACGATTTTCATACAGATTAGGAATAACAAGAAACATATTTTCTTTAAAAACTAAAACTTAAATTTAATGGCTGTAAAGGTTTTCGTGAGTAACAATCCTCGCTCTATCATCAAAGAAGAATGGACAATGATATCAGTACCAGACCTCGGGGTTTTAGGATGATTGCGGTATGAACATAAACACACACTTAACGAATAAATTCATATGAAAACCTACCGTTCTGGAGATTTCGCTACTGAACCGATGGAAGATATTCGGTACTTTGCGTCTTTCCGTTGTTGATCGACGGACGTGATTCAATAGTACATGAGATCTGTCAATCTAATTAGCCATGAAGAGGCTGGATGGGTATCCATGGAAGCGGGTATAAACTCTGCCGGTCGGGGATCGGAGGAGGGTGGCGACAGTGGATCGAAGGAATCGATATCGGTGAAATCACATAGGCGGTGCCAGGTCGGCTGAGGTGTAGGTTGTATATTGGGTTGGATTGGTTTTTTGGGTCATTTATTATTGGGCCATAAAGTCGGTTAAAATGGACTGGACAAAATTATGCATATAAGGTAATTCTAGTATTTGGTGTGCCACAAAAAAAAATATACTCAAACCAAGTATTTTTTAGGACAACTAAAAGAATTTTAAATGAAAAATAACACACGTGTGTACTTTTTATTGAAATATGATAAATTTGTAGAATAAATAGATGGACACTTTTATATGTATCAATGTATGTAATATTTTTGTTACATGTAAGGAAGAAATTTCCTATATGTTAATACTAATATTAATTGTATTTGACGGAATTTGCCTTTTACTGTATTCTCGGTAAGTATTACAAAATTCACTATATTTCATGTTTTTTAGAAATTTTATATTTTTTTCTTATTCGTAATAACAATTTAGGGAACAAAACTAGAATCACATGTTAAGTACTTTGTGGTTAGAAGACATCATTGTTCATCTCCCAAAGAAGATGTCGCAGGTTCGAGTCACATCTCAATCAAATTTTGGCATTAAAAAAAACAGATAATATAAAGTTTAGAAAAATATTACAAATCAGAAAAACTAGAATTACATATATACTAGCTTGATTAGATAATATTCGCAAGGCTGCCTATGTCAATAAAAAAAAAAATACAGTCTTAAATGAGATGATAAGTTCATCAACTTTCTCTAATGGCATTATACCATGTAAGCAGAAAATTTAGAAACCTATGGAGCATGAGCTCATTAGATCCATTATTTTATATTTTTTACAACTTAAGAGGTTGATTGCGTGCTTTGCAAGTAAGGATGTTTTTACTTGGACTGTAATTTGCTGGTCTGGTCTGGTCTGGTCTGATCTGGTCTGGTCTGGTCTGAACTGGTCTGGTCTGGTCTGGTAAGGTCTGGTTTCTTTGTATTTTTATAACTATCCAAGTCTGGTCTGGTCTGGTCTGATCTGAACTGGTCTGGTCTGGTCTGGACTGGTCTGGTCTGGTCTGGTCTGGGACAAATTACAGTCCAAGTAAAAACATCCTAAGAGGGTTTAATTGCTTTTTCTATCTATACAATAAGAAGGCTGATTTAACAGATTCCATTTAGAATCATTTATTACTTGTAAATTTTCATACTTCTCTACTCCCTCCGTTCTTTATTATGTGTCCTCTTAGGCTTTGGCACGGGTTTTAAGAGGAAAATAGTAGGGGTAGTGTAAAAGGTGTAATGAGTAGTGGGTAAATGAAAAAGTAGGAAAGAGAAAGGGGTAATAGTAATAAAAGTGGGGGTATAAAGTTATATTTAAAGTAAAAACTTTCCTTAAATGGAAAGGAGGACAAATAAAAAAAACGTCCTAAAAAGGAAAGAAGGACTTTTATTAAAGAACGGGAGTATATGTTAATATTTACGGTTCATTATAATCAGTGGGAAAATTGGTTGGTTGATCTCTAGGTGGGCTGGGTGGCCTCTTGGACGACTATTCGAGAGCCAACTATGACCTATGGCATAGATGAAAGCTTAGGCTAATTTTTATATTAATGTCTAAAATTTAAACCATGCCAATATGATTAGGCAACGTTGATATAATATGAAATAAAATAAATAATGACTTATACGGAGTATGTAATTGAATCAAAGTTAATAGGGATAAGGGTCAGATAGGGCCTCGAACTCGAAAAAAAATGTCAAATAAGGTCATATTTCGGATGCTCTGTCTGGCCGACGCCATTTGGGGCGGTTCCCGATGGAATTTTTTGATGAAATTTTTTGAGCATCTTCCTCATTAAGTCTAGTTTACCCATACCAAATTTCAGCTAAAAATTCAACCGGGAAGGTAGTCAAATAATTTTCCGAAATGTACGGCGTTGTTTAACTTCACAGTTATCTTCAAAAACTCATTTGACTACCTTCCCGGTTGAGTTTTTAGCTGAAATTTGGTATGGGTAAACTAGACTTAATGAGGAAGATGCTCAAAAAATTTTATCAAAAAATTCCATCGGGAACCGCCCCAAATGGCGTCGGCCAGACAGAGCATCCGAAATATGACCTTATTTGACATTTTTTTTCGAGTTCGAGGCCCTATCTGACCCTTATCCCAAGTTAATAAAGAAACAAGCATATCACTCCACTTTTTTTAATATAAATGATCGACTTTTATATTAAAATTGAGAAAAGATACAAAATAGCATCCAGACAGTTATGACAGGTTCGGTTGTGAACCTTGAAAATAGACATAGAATCAGTAGCAACACGATTCGTGCAAGTTAAAGCCTAAACAAATGGGGCTAAATAATGCTTATCATACGTGTGCCAGAAGTCCAAATTTCCAAGCCAAACCTACTGAAACTAAAATAAAAACAATTCAAGTACCAATAATGAAAAAATAAAATTGAAATAAAGTAACTCTTTTTGGCACGAAGGTGGTTCAGGAAGAGGATGGGATCTACCAATGTATACACACTTGAAGAAAGTGTGTATACAGTGTGATAATGATAATTATTCAGAAATCTCTAAATAACAGGTTGAAATTAAAATCCCCAATCAAATACATAAAATGACATACAGTGTGATAATGATAATTATTTCGTCCTATATAAATATTTATATTTGCATAACAATATAAATGCTAAAGAAGTGTCCATTAATGGGGCTTCTGAGATCTGCAATCGTGGGAGAGAATCAAAGCGTATCCATGGGTAGGGCTATAAAGCTTATCATCATTTCTTTTCTTTAGGTCTCGGGTGTAACACCTCGGCCCTGCATGACCCGAGTTAGTTACTTCGGACCTCTAGTATTGTCCTTACAAACCACCACAAGCATTTGTTGTGCACTTTGTCATTACTAATGCGCACCCTGAGAAACATCTCAGAAGGTCACCCCTCCCAAGACTACTCTCTTGCAAGCACGCTTAACTTTGAAGTTCTTAGCTTATGAACTCCCTTAAAAGGAGATGTATCTTTGTTGGTATGAGTAGTGCTATTAATCCATTGAAATTAAATCTCAATAGATCGGGTATCTTGTTGTTTTACTTCTCCCAAGTTTGTCTTCGTACGACTGTTCGTTTGTATCTTGGCCGAGCCACCGAGGGTTGTCTACGTTCATATAGAACGATTTTTTGTTGATTCTCTATTTGGGATCACTGCTTTGGGTTTGTTTTGATATGGTCGGGTTTGCCAGCAAGTATTTGTATATGTGGAGAACATTACTAATGTTCATGATAGAGCATGAGCACCTAGAACTCCGACAGAGCATGAGAATGGAAGTTTTTTTGAAGACTACTAGTCAAATCTTTTCTCCCTTTATGGTGGCGGGTAAAGCCGGAATGCTTGAATTAATTTATTTATCTCCTTTTAAGGACAAGTTGTGTTATTTTAATTATTATTGGAGTAGTAAGTTCAACTACGTTGTTAGTTTGAACTACATAAATGTTGGATATTTGGATTAGCAAATCCAATTCATCCTTGGCTTTTCAATTATTTTTCAATTATATGTCTCATACGAGTGTACCCTAAAATTAGACTATTGTATTATTTTATTTCTTGTTACTTTTATCATTGATAAATAACTTGTCTATTTGCTAAAACAGTATCCACTAATGGAACAGATTACTGGTTAGCTATGGCTTATGAGCGCGAGAGAGTATTCACCCTACCCTATAGTTTTAGGTAGATATTCAATTATTCTCTTCCTTTACAAATGCTTATGGTCCACATAGAATAAGATTAAACTCAATGTTTAATCATTATTATTATTATTGTTTTTATTATTATTATTATTATTATTATTATTTGAAAAGAATACTTTAAATGCCAAAAAGTCCGTGATTTATCACAGCCAACAAATAGGGAAAAATTGTTTTTGCAACCATGTTCACATCGAAATTGGATATTATGTCCAACTCTTTAGCTCATTAGGCTAACCACAACTCAACCCGTCAATAAATCTAATCTCCCACCTTTTTATACGTATTCACTCAATCAATTTAGTTTTTTCCTGCAACCCAACATCGTCAATGTATTCAGTCAGCACATTTTTTTATAATTAAATGCAAAAATCCTTACATTTTTTTTTATTTTACATCGTTTATGTGACAATTTTATTTTTACCAATAATTATAATTTAAAAAGTCAAGCATTTCGATGAGGAAGAACCGAAGGAGTAAAATAAATAAATAAATTTAGAGTTTAGTTTTTTTTGTTATTTCGTGCTTATATTTTAAAAACATAACCAAAAGATGTAAAAAAAAATAATGCATGAGATATTTTTTTAACATTTGGATCTACTTAAGAATAATTTTGAACCTAAAGATCTCTATCGGATAAAACATCATATTTTTTTAACTTTATATATACATGATATTAATGTCATATGAAAGATCATAAAAAGTTATACATTTTGATATACTCCCTCCATCCCACTTTAAGTTTCCCACATGATTTACGATGTTTGACTGACCATAAAGTTAATTGATCCCTTTCATTAATAGAATTATTTTTAATAAATAAAATATACATATTCAGAAACTACATTACAACCCCTACAAACTAAACCTGCAAATTAAAAAATAATTTAAATTTCATAAACTTTCGGTATATAAAGTAAAGATTAAGAACAATGCATGTTGACTAGAGAACAGTGTATGGAAACCTTTAAAAATTGAATCATTAATAAAAAAAGTTATACCATTTTTTTTAAAAAAAAAATGGGATTTTAATCTTTCATGCAACTCACATTTTTTCTTTGTTGCGGACACCAAGGAAGCTATCTTTTCTCTCTCTCCAAGAGTCAATCCACCGGCTATATCCCCACGCAAGGGGTTTCCCCAACCCACTACAAGACCTTGCTATACTCTTTTTGGCTTGGGTTGCAGCTCAATTTGGGTGAAAACCTCAAATTTGAGTTTCCACCCCTTGCATTGCGAATAGCCTTAACACAAACGTAATGGCGTGCCACCTTAGATTTTATTTAAAACATGGGGTGGGAACTCCAATTTGATGAACTTGGGGAGCAAAAACCAATTTTCCCCAGAAATAACCTTTGACATAGGATAAATGACCGACGAGATCAAACTTAAACAGGTTAGCCCGTCTTAAACACTAGTAAAATACACATAAAACCAAAATTAAAAAACACCAAAATAGACCAAAAATTTTCAGGAAAAATATCCTAACTAATAAAACAAATCTCCACTAAGACAATGATTTTGAAACACAGATGCATCTACATAGTTTGTACAGGCCGACATATCTAAAAGGGGGTGCGCTGACCTTCAACTTATGTCTATTTTGACAGTCAACCATACATTCCTAGCACCTCCACAGATAATCTATCACCCATTCTCCCGACTGATCATGTGGGAGGTTAAATAAACTACTCATATACCCAAACTCCCATAGTCACTTCCTCTGCATCTTGAATCTAGATACTGGCTTTGAGGCACGACCAACACTAGGTTGCATATCAATGTTGGGCGAATGTTCCACGATAGAACCAGTAAAAGCCTGCACATTAACACTCTCAGCTCATATACAGATCATGAGTATATAATCAAATAATCAATTAATACTAATATCAGAAAAGGTCTTGCGCGAGTCAGTGGACATACCTTGCTAGCATCAAAGTGTTCTTCAGTTCTGTTTACTGCCGCCTGCTGCAAACAATGTACTTCACCAATCAATCATCACGTGTGTATACAGTATATAGCTATACAGTTTAAGGCTTTGTAATTGGGAAACAAAATGCAGTCATTACTACATTGTAATCTCGACAATGCGACAGAATTGCTGACATCTTATGTCTCGTTTCGATGTCCTTATGTAAAACCTGGCTTTAAGAAGTGCTCTTGATGATGCTAAAAACAGTATAAAATATTTGCGATATAGTACCCATTATTTTTATTGGAGTTTCCAAAAGAAATATTTATCTAAAAACGGTTAGCTTTCCGACAATAAGTACTTTTTAAAGTTTTTAATGTTTTTATACTTTTAAAAAGCACTTTTAAGAATATCACACAGACATCATTTTGAAGTGTAGACGCACTTTTGGCCCAGTCCCAAATCATATCCAACATGCTCTAATACACTTCTGTGAAATGCAACTATAGTGGGATCAAAATGCTAAATATTCTTCTGACTAGCAATTGACAGAATCGTCAAGTTTTCTGCCATGTTTTCTTTATGTTATATACTGGAGACTCTGAGTATGGTGATTAGCTGTAGTGTTAATCGCATGAAATAAAAAATTTAAAATGACGTCTATGTGTGTAACTGACATTTTCAGATTACACCAAGTCACCAATTCTAATGAACAGAGAAGAAAAATGAGAGTGATGGGAAGGGACATATGGACAGTTGCATGATACCTTGCTTTCCAACACAGCTATATTGTCCTTCAGTACAGGAAGCTTTGGAGCAACACTAGTTGAGCTTGTTTGACAAAATGGCAAGCATTCTTCATGAAAGTACTCACCTGTGATGAAGTTAATAAATGGGGCTTTATTTATCGGAGAAACCATACAGAAATTAAAGGGATACCATTTCATTTTGTGCACAAAAATCCTGTATAATTGGGATTACGTGTGATAATGTCACACAAAAAAAAATTTAACGTGTTCAAGCATTTATCGTGTTCCATGCGACACTATTATGTCACTGGTTTTGTGTTCAAGCTCAGCTACTTGTGGATTTCATGTACTCCCATCCAAAAAAGAGTCATGTTCTAGTAAGCCGCAAGGTGCAGCTTTTTATTAATTACCGCTCCTTATAAGTGCCGCAAGGTCTGATGAGAGTAAGTGAATAAAACCACTTTATTGGGTTTACAGGAATTTTACTCAAAATTTTGAACTTGACTCTAAAACCACTCTTTTAGACAAAAAAAAGGTTCTTGAAATAGAAACATTTGCGACCAGGCAGGTGTTTTTGGTGTGTGTTTATTTTCTCTACTTGATAGCATGACTAACCTTTAGGTAGTTGAGCTTGTCCATTTGAACCTTCTGTCTGCACTTTGAAATTTCACATATTAACTAATTATTTAATAGAAGTATATATAACTCCACCGTAGGTTGGAGCCTTTGAGGCACTGGGGTAAATTGAAAATGAAAATGAAAAAGTATATATAACTCAGGGGACAATTAACCTAGGCAAATTGGATAGCAGTGAGGTGTTCCTTACTTTCGAAAGATCATGATTTCTTGAAGCTGCCATTATAACTTCATTTGACTCTGTTCTTAAAGAAGTTACTGCTTTTGTCATGTTACTCAAACCACACACCTAATAGGGAAAAATAGAAAGAGAGACAGAGGATAAATGGAATGCTTCGAGACTTTGATATGATTAAGTGAACCCCTCAGTTTTGTCATGTCATGCCTACTATATAATTTACCTCTGAATTTCCCACTTGGATGGCTTCTCCAGATTCATCCTCACTAATTTCATTGGCCTTTTCAGCTTCTTCCTCTTCTTTCTCAAGTTCAGCAATCCGAGCTAATATTTGAGCATATTCTTCGTCTTTAAATTTTTGTGTGGCATCTTCTTCTTTAGGAAAACTATTAGAGTCCATGTTTGAGACCCCTGAAAACATTGAAGGCAATTAAAGAATCATATTAGACTATGTAAGAATATTTGGGAGAAAATTTGTGTTGCTAGGAACTAAGAAAGTAGTACGCATTAGTTTGTTATTTGAAAGAAAACTTGTTTTGCTATTATGAGCTATAAATTTTATAGTTCGTACGATAAAATTTTGGGAGAGGCATGCACTATTTATAGGCATAGATTCATCTAATGTAATAGATCTTAACTTTCATTACTTAAACTAGTACACTAGGATACTGTCATATTAGTTACATAACGAATTAGGAATCTGATATATATTGCAGTTGTAATGGAGATCTTTGCCGCCTCAAACACTGAGCTGGACTTGGTCCACCATGAGTCAGGCCTCAAACTGCTCCTCACGCATCCTATGACGGGCCAAATGGGCTAATTGAAGATATGAGGGGTCCGCTTTCTTACTAGACTGGGTCCGATGGCCAAGCTGAATGCACCATGGCCCAGTTATAGTTATAAGAATCTTTGCCAGGGTTGTTTATCACACTGCATACTATCTTTTGTCTGGAAGGGGGGAGCTAGCCTTGTAATACATATATACATAGCGCTAGGAGAACTTACAAACTTACAGTCACTCAAAACCAAACCAGATTCTAAGGTTTTATTCATCATGCAACAAGATACAGTTTATACTCTTGGAAGTTGGAATATGGTGTCTAGAATAAAATTCTATAGTGTTTGAAAGAGTGACAGAAAATAGTGAAGTACTAAAATATGAGCCAAGAGTAAACTTCCCTACACCCAGGTAATTAGTCAAAAACACAAATTAAATTCAGTGAAACTCTACTAAATAATCAGAAACATAATAAGAATTAAGATATGGCATTTAAAATCGATAGAAAACTTGCCTGGTGTGGCTGGCTTTCTATAAGAAGATTCCTCAACAATGTCTTCCCTGATCTCTACAAGACCTTCCTGTTGAAATTTTCTTGAAACTCTTAAAGTGGAAACTAAGTACGTAGTATGATTATCAGTTCTCACCATTAGAAGACCAGACAGGAATTACTATTGTTCATTCCTTTCAAATCCACAATAGTTATTTTAAATTACTTAATTCTATTAGTTAGGCCAACAGAAGGATTGCATCACTGTTTAATGAGACTGTAATGATACAAAGGCTTACCGCTGACTCTGAAGCCGTTTTATCAAAAAATGAAGCTTCAGCCTCAAGGTCCTGCATTACAGCTTTTAGATGTTGAACTTGGGACTCCAAATCCTTACCCCTTCTGGTCAAAATTTCAGAGGTCTGTTTGGATGATCTTTCAGCATAATAACCCTCTCCCAAGAGTACCTACCATGATTGAAAGAACCCATAACATCTTGAATCTCGATGCAAATATATGCTGACCAGAAAAGTCCTAGGAACCTAGGATTATAAAATTAGGTACCATAAATTCATTGGTATGAATCAATCGGCCAGGGAAAAATGCAGCCTTCCCAAACGGAACCTAAAATACAAAAACAAAACATCCCACACATTCAAAGTACATCCACAATATATAGGATATAACGGGAACAGATATATATACAAATAATAACTTGCCATGATGTCGTGGTGGAGTTTGTCGGGAAGACGCTGAACAAGATCGATGAGACTTCTGTTTTCAGCGACGAAGCCGTTTAGCTGATCCATCTGTTTCCGCCGCTCGGCGACGGCTTCGTGCACACGCTGCAATGCTTTCTGAGCTTCATCCACCGGAATTAGTGAGGAGAGTGATGTCACCGTCCCTTTCACCGGTTCTCCCATGGCTTCGAGCATGGGCCTAGCCGGTACAGATGTTTACCTGAGACAATTATACGCTAAAATTCTAAAAACATTATATAAAAATTTTAAAAGCGATAATAGTGTGAGCATAACGATTAAAATCCATTAAAATTCATAGTACTATATTTTTATACAATACATACAATGTTTGAAACTATGGGGTTGTTTGGAACTGATTCTGCTTCTGTTTCTTTTTTAAAAGCAGAAGCAAAATCAGAATCAGTTTTCAGAAGCTGATACCTCCCAGCTTCTAAAAAAACTGATTCTGAGAGTAAATTAGAGCTCCAAAAGTGCTTCTGGAATTTCACCCAAACACTCTAGCTTCTGCTTCTGCTCCCTGAAGGAGCAGAATCAGTTTTGAGAATCAGATCCAAACACCCCCTATATGCCTTAGGTGTTGTTGAGAGTATTCCAACCAATTACTTGCATTGTTTTTGTACTCAAAATAACATATTTTTTAGAATTTAATATTTGTTACATTTTAAAATGGAAAAAGGTAGATATTCTGTAGATATGGGTAACTTCCAACGCAACCGAAAGAAGGAGTTCAGGATGAACCATCCTAGTTTACGCAAAAGTAAATGACATATCGGGTCTTCTTCTCAAAGCCGAGAAAATTTTGAAATGGATTACCAACGGAGAGATTCGATGTTCGATAAGCAATTGGCTCAACTTATGGCCCAAGGACATGGGCGGTTTTACCAACAACAAGACATCCCCAACATTGAGGAAGAGCTTGAGGATGAGGATGCGGAGGAGGATATTGATCCGGCGACGGCCGAGGACGGGCATGACGGCACCCCGGATGATGACACCCACGACGATGAGAAAGTTGGTTCATCCCAACCCGGTAAGAAAGGTGAATCTCTCGTTATGAAAAATAATTATGTAAAGGGGAAAGACCCAAAAACCGACTTTTGGCACTCAACTTGCAATCATTGCAAGAAAGATATTAGTTTGGGGATTTCAATGGGATACGGCGGCACCAAACGGCATATTACGGCCCGTCACCCCGTGGGGTTTGCGAATTTAGAAAAAGACAAGGGGGAGCAAGCTCAAATATCGAGGCTTGCAACTGGCCAACTCTATGGTAATTTCTCCTATGATGATTTCAAACATTTAACTGATATGTCTCACTTAATTGTTGAAGAAAATTTGTCTTTTGTTTTTTCTGAAAAAATCATGCATTAAAAGCTTATGCTCAAGGTTCTTCAAATTCCAAATTTCGAAATTATAGTCGCAGGAGGATTAAAAAAGAAATTATCGGGCAATATGGTTTGGATAAGGCAAATTTACAAATGTTTTTCGCAAACTTTAATGGGCGTGTTAGTATATGTTGTAATATATGGTAGGATATTCATCATCATTTGTATTATTATTATTTGGGTGTGACTACACATTATATTGATGATGATTGAAAAATGGATAACCATGTTCTTGCTTTTCGTGAATTTAATGATCAACATACCGCCGATGATATTTATATTCTCATTGAGCGTATTTTAATCAAGTATAATTTGACTGATAATGTCTTTGCTATGGGTTTTGATAATGTTAGTAATAATACTGGTGCTATACCTAGATTGCGTGAATTGTGTAGTGCCTCTACTTTGTTTGGTAGGTTTTTCATCAACGATGTGCATGTCATATTTTCAATTTGTGTGTAAAAGACGGGTTAGCCGCGTTAAGAAATGCTATGGATATAGTGAAGGGGGAAATTAGACCTATTTGGACTAGTAATCCACTTAAAGTGCAATGGCAATAATATTTGAGAGATAGACGTGTGAAATATTGTATTTTTCCTAAAGATTTGTCTATTCGCTGGAATAGTACTTATAACTTAATGGCTAAAGGGTCAAATAGGCCCTCGAACTAATTTAAAAAGTGCAATTAACCCCTTATATAGGAGGCTCCGTCCGGCCGTCATCAATTGGGGCGGCTCCCGATGGAATTTTTTGATGAATTTTTCCGAATATCTTCTTCATTAAGTCTAGTTTACCCATATCAAATTTCAGATAAATAATCAACCAGGAAGACAGTCAGATAATTTTCTGAAACGTACTGCGCTGTATAACTGCAGGGTTATCTTCAAAAATTCATTTGACTGCCTTCTCGATTGAATTTTTATCTACAATTTGTATGAGTAAACTAGACTTAATGAAAAAGATGCTAAAAAAAATTCATCAAAAAATTCCATCGAGAACCGGCCCAATTGGTGATGGCTGGACAGAGCCTCCTATTTAAGGGGTGAATTGCACTTTTAAAATTAGTTCGAGAACCTATTTGATCCTTTAGCCTAAATGTACTTGTTAGATTTAAAGACCATTTTCCTGCTTTTTTAAAAGAATATGTTAAGGGGTGAATTGCGAATGTTTTGGTATATTTTAATAATGCAACTCTAACTTTCGTCGTTGCTTTTTGTGAATTTTTCAATGTTCCTTATGTTCATCATTTTTGTGATTACATGAAAGACAAGTTTTTAAAATATTATGCACATATTCCGCATATACATGGTATTGCATTTATTCTTGATTCTCATTTCATACTTAATGCTTTGCAACATTGTTTAGACTACTATTATGCTTTTTTTGGTGAATTTTCTTATGTATGAAAATAACCCCATAGATCCTAAACAAAAATTCAACGGGGTTAGTAATTTATTTCATCAATTATATAATGAGTTTTATGCACAATATGGTAACGCACCCCCTCCCCTGACACAAACATCTTCATCTAAAGGAAAATCATTTTTGAAATCTACACTTGAAAATTTTATGAAAAAGTAAATAAACTCCCGTTGCTGAACAAAGCTCGATTAACGAGCTTTCTATGTATCTAACGTTTCATGTTGAGTATGAAGATTAGGCTGACTTTGACATTCTGAAGTGGTGGAAGAAAAAAGAAAGAACGTTCTCGATGTTATCAAAGATGGCTAAGCAAGTTCTAGCAATGTCGATATCAACAGTTGCCGTGGAACAAGAATTTATTGTGGCTGACAACGTCCTAACGGATTATAGAACGAGATTGAGCACAAGATCTTTTGAGACACTTGTTTGCTTCAATGATTGGTTGAAGGCGCAATGAAGAACCTAAGAACTTAGCATCACCCCCTACCCGCCACTTTATGGAGGAAACAACAACCGACGTAGGCATGTAAAAAAAAACCGGCCCGGCCCGCAATGACCCGCCCTGGCCCGAGCCATTTGGGGCAGGTCCGCCCCGCGCCGTCTTGCAAATGGGGCGGGTTCGCCCGCCCCGCCTATACAATGGGGCGGGTCCAGGTATTAGTATTGACCCGTGATGCCTCGACTCGACCCGACCGACCCACTCATTATATAAGTATACATATTTTTCCTTAAATTATATTACAAATATACTTCAATATACATGTGTGTATATAATAAATCACAAATTCTTTGATCTTATCATACATTAATATTTATATTTGAATGAAATAGCATTTTAATACATATATTCAATTATTATAATTAAATAGATTAACTATTCAAGTCTAAGTACTTTTTTCTTAATTTTTGAAAATTTTAGTGTATCGTGAATTTGATTTAATTTATTATTATTTTAATAATTATTTAGAGATAAACTTTAGGATTTGGATTATTAGCCAAATGACTAAATATATCATCAACTATCATCAAATTCAATAATTTATCATATACTTTCACTTTTATTATAAAAAGACTCAAACTTCAATTTTTCTACGTATTACACTTTCAACAGATGAATTAGTCAAACTTAAGAAGAAAATCGTATTTATATGTCATATTTTTTCACTTCTTTTAGTTTTAAGTTTACAAACTTGTATTGACTATATCTTATTGGTATTCATAAAAATGTATAATTTTGTAAAAACAAAAAAGAAAAGCATAATTGTTTAAAAAGATGAAGTCTGAGTCTTTTTTTTTTTAATAAAAGTGAATGAATAAGATAGATTTGTGAATTTGGTGATAGTTTGGGATCAATTAAGCTAATAACCCTAAACTTTATGTAAATTCAATTGGTAACAGCAACCCACAAATAAAAATACATGCTAACCAATTAAGTTACGGCGGCGGGACGGGTCAACAGGTTTGGACCCGTGCGGGTCATGGGGCGGGGGCGAGTCCACCAAGTGAAGTCGCGGGACGGGTCTGGGTGTTGCAGTACCCACCCCGCCCTGATCCATTGCCATGTCTAAATCGACGGTGGCTGAGATTCCGACTGATTATTAGAATATATATTTAATGTTTTAATTTTAAAATTTTCTCAATTCATAGTTTGTATTTCAAATAAATATACTTTAATGTTTTTATTGCCTGACACCTATTGAATTAATTTTTAAACTTGATTTACACAACAACAAAAAATAAAAAATGGCCAACCCAACCCGGCCCGACCCGAGACCCGGGCTGGTAGACCGGCCTGGACCGGTCCTCAAGCCCAAAAATTTTGACCCGCCCTAGACCGACCCGGAGCCCTGCCCCTGGCTTAGGGAGTGTTTGCAATCACTTAAAAAAAAGCACTTCTCAGCTTTTGGTTTAAAAAAGCACTTATTTACCAAACACTACCAATTTTTACTTTTTTTCGTCTTGCGTGTGAAAAGTGCTTTTCCCCTTTCTATTACACAAAAAACACTTATTTTACCAAACACTATCAACTTTTACTTTTCAAAATCACTTTTTTCTCAAACACTATCAACTTTTCCTACTAATCACTTTTTCCTTACATCTCCAAAGTGCTTTTTTTTTAAGCAGAAGCAGTTGCAAACACTCCTTTACAGTATTGGAATTAGGGAAGAGCCAATCTCCGCGGACTAGTTTGGATTGAGCTGCGACGTCGTTTTATCGCCGCAGTTAGTACTTCTGGCCTTTTCGAAATTGCCCCTTTTCTTTGCTTTTTTGCTAAATTTCAAGGCAAAAAGTTTTTCACCCGCAGCCGATTGGATGATTGTTCTTGTCCTTTCCACCCCGCCTCAAATTTCTTTTACGTACAGTGTACAGCCGCCCTACAAGGAGGGAATCCCAAAACGGTTTTTGCGCTTAGCAACAAGCGTAGAGATAGAAATTTAACTCTCACTTCTCAGTTCCCAATC